CAGCCTGGGCGACATGACAAAACCCTGTCTCCACAAAAAGTACAAAAATTGCCGGGCGCGGTGGCTCAAGCCTGTAATCCCAGCACTTTGGGAGGCCGAGACGGGCGGATCACGAGGTCAGGAGATCGAGACCATCCTGGCTAACACGGTGAAACCCCGTCTCTACTAAAAAATACAAAAAACTAGCCGGGCGCGGTGGCGGGCGCCTGTAGTCCCAGCTACTCGGGAGGCTGAGGCAGGAGAATGGCGTGAACCCGGGAAGCGGAGCTTGCAGTGAGCTGAGATCGGCCACTGCACTCCAGCCTGGGCGACAGAGCGAGACTCCGTCTCAAAAAAAAAAAAAAAAAAAAGTACAAAAATTAGCTGGGCATGGTGGCATGCACCTATAATCCCAGCTACTTGGGAGGCTGAGGTAGGAGGATCGCTTGAGCCTGGGAGGTTGAGGCTGTAGTGAGCTGAGATCACGCCACTGCACTCCAGTCTGGGCAACAGAGTAAGACCCTGTCTCAAAAAAAAAAAAAAAAAAAAAAATAGAGATGCCCCTTGAACCCATGGTTTTTTGGAGCTACATTCTGGAAGCTTTCAGAGTCAGACCAGAGGCATTGTGTCACTAGCCGTGTGCCCGTGGGCAAGTCACAATAGAGTTTACTTCCCAGGGCACTTGTGAGGCTCATCTGGGATTATGTGTGTCCACGCCTTGGCAGAGAGCTTGGTGAAGAACAGTAGTTGTCCAATAAATGGTACCCCCTTAAGTTGGTGTGCAGGGTGGCCACAGGGCCGGACCACCCTGAAAATAAAGGCTTATACTTGGGCTGAGCCTGGATGCACCTGAGATTACAAGCAGGTGCTTGGAATGTGGTGAAAAAAGAAAGACAGGAGAGAATGGCTGAAGGCAGCACGCAGTCCACCTGACTTTGTGGGAAGAGTGGGCATTTGCAGGGCTGATAAGGCAGGTTCTTCCGGGCCTTTCTGTGAGCTCATTAGAGGAAGGGGTCCGGTGACTGATATTTCTATTTTCCCTGTTAGTAGCGACTGGAATTTGCACCATCCAGGTCAGATGGAAAATAGAAGGCGGGAAAATCTGACAGTCTCATTGATTTGCTCTCTTTGCCATCGCCACTTTTGAGAGGAAGAAATGTGACTTCAAAATTGCAATTAGGAACCAGCCTGCTAAGGAGTCCTCTCGTGGGCTCCCGTGCCGTGCAGAGCACAGGCCCATCTCATCTCATTTCCTAAGGAGGTAGGTTCATTCATGGTTTCAGCAGGAGCAGGCAGTGCAAACATGTGACACCCACCCACAAATAATAGCCAGAAAGGCTGTCCAATGCTTCCTTCACATTTTTGGTCAGATCTCTGAAAAGATGGCCATTCTCCCAATGTTTTAAAAGTATTAACTTCGTTTCAAACATCCTTTAACCTTTAATGTTTTGTAACTTGATGAAAAGGTCATTTTGTGCTGAGGATGCAGTTGTTCCATAATTGTTCAGCTATCAGGGTGAATTCCAACCAAATCTAGAATGATTTAATGGGATCCAACCCCCACCCCCACACACACACACACAATAAATGAATATTTTCCCATATATTTCTGTGTACATGTACATGTACTTGTGCATATATATTTACATATTTGTATCTATGCATACACATATACTCATTGGGACTTGGATTCAATGGGCATTTCTAGCCTTCTCACAGAGTGACTTATCCTTTGCAGGAAAATAGATATTAAACTTACTCTTTTGAATACATTTTGCTAAATATTTGATGGCAATTATTTATTGTGCATTGTACTTATTCCTGATTTCTTACAGAAAGGATTTGGTCAATTTCTAATTCAATATTTCATTGCTGTCTCTACAATGAATGCCCCAGAAGCTTAGGAGAATTGAGAGGTTTTTTTTTTCCTCTCTCTTCTTTCACAGTGTGAGCTTTTTAACTGTCACCGGCTAGAGCAGTCCTTCTTCTTCACTTTTACCTTTCTTAGCTGATGTATTCTTGGAAACAGATGGCTGAGCATGTTAGATTTATATTTAAAATAAGAGTAGAGTTAATAGGCTCAAAGAAGAGCAGGAAGGTATTTTCTACAAGGAAACTGCATGAAGTGTATGCCTGGACCCCAGAAGATGTGTTAATACTTTTACCTATTCAAGAGGCATTGCATTGTGGTCTCCTATATTTCTTGCTCTGATGATTGAGTTTTTAAGATAAAGGCTCTCCAGGCAAATAAGGAACAGTTGGATAGAGTAGCTTACCTTAAGTCTCTACAGACTCATGTAGAGAGCAAATCTGATCTAAACTGTGTAAAAATATCAGTAAGGCAACTCTATAAGATTAACGCTCGTATTAAACCTAAAAGAGAAAATTGGTCCTTTTTTTTTTTTTTTTTTTAAGACAGAGACTCACTCTGCTGTCCAGGCTGAAGTGCAGTGGCACGATGTCGGCTCACTGCAGCCTCCGCCTCCTGGATTCAAGCGATTCTTCTGCCTCAGCTTCCCAAGTACCTGGGATTACAGGCATGCACCACTATGCCCAGCTAATTTTTGTATTTTTAGTAGAGACAGGATTTCACCAGGTTGGCCAGGATGGTCTCGAACTCCTAACCTCATGTGATCCACTTGTCTCGGCTTCCCAAAGTTCTGGGATTACAGGGTTAAGCCAGGGCACCTGGCCAAAAATTGGTACTTTTAAAAGGAGAGAAGTTTTACTTAAAAGCAAACGCCTTTAAAAGGTCTTTGGCTGGACTAAATGGTAATGAGGCGAAGCAAAGCTTGTGACCCCTCTGTAGAGCCATCCAGATTGTCTCTCTTTGGGGCCAGATCCTCTAGAATGCATGATCTAAGGTCATTCATTGCACATTCCTGGCTTCAGACTGGTTTTCTGAATTTGCCTGCGATCTGATTTTTGTCTTCCTACATTTCTGTGTGTGAGATACATCAAAAGGTCAAAGAATGTGTGAATCATATGGGTATGGTTTAAATAATACCTGCATACACAACACTCAGTCACCTGAAACCTCCCCGGACACCTCCCAATTCCAGTCCCCTCTCCTGGAGGCTACCTCTATTTTTAATTTTTGTAATGATCACTTCCTTGCCTTACTTTGTAGTTTTAATATTTAGATGTGTATCCCTGGTCATGTTCATAAATGAAATATTGTATGAATTATTTTGTGTCTTGTTTCTTTTACTCAGCATCGTTTTTCAGACTTAACCGTGTGGATTTGTGTAGCTCATTCATGATCAAAGTTGTAGACTATGAAAACATTAGTTTTATGCAAACATTAGGATTTTTTCCCCCAATTGTGTGGATATCATGAAGAATGCCGCTGTGAACATGCTTGTTCCTATGCCGTAACTCACATGGGGAATATCTCTATTTATATATAGTTAGGGGTGGGATTGCTTGGTCAGAGTTTGCATATCTGCAGCTCTAACTGTTTTCCAAGATGATTGTGTCAATTTTCACTCCCACAAGCAGTTTTTAAAGTTCCCATTGTTCTACATCCTTGCCAGCCTATGATATTGTTAGCAATGTTTTTTCGTATTTGTAATGTTTCCTAATCTAGCGGCTGTGGTTGCTGTCTCACTGTGTTTAATTTGCATTTCCATGATTACTAATGAGTTTGAGCACCTTTTTATATCTGCGTGGTGATCGGTGATCGGGAATGCCTTATTTGTGAGATGTCTGTTCAAGTCCTGCCATTATCTGTTGCGTACGTGTTTCACATTCTTTCACCCAAATTCTCTGTTGCCCAGTTTGTTTCAGATTGTTTTGGGACAGTGGATCAGATCAGAAATGTTCCAGTGAGATCTCTCACTATATTTCCTAGTATGCTTTTAATCTGTGAGAAATACGAACCCCTGCTCACAGTGGCTTCAGGAAATTGGCAAGAGGTAGATTATGGCTCCATTATATTAACAGGAAGTCAGTTTTCTCTGCCTTCTTACTCTTCCCTTCATTTTAGGCATAATGTCATCCTCAAGGTGGTTTATCTTACGATTTCAAGAGGGCCACAATTGGCGAGTGGAACTAATTGCTTCTTTGTCCACATTCAACAGGGAAGAGAAGAATAGAAAACTTTTCATTGACCCATGTAATCTAAGTCATTCCCTTCAGTTTCCAGGGGCCACGTCCATGAAGCAGGAGGCATCTCCAGGGAATGCCATGCCCTGACACCTTACTGAGCACTCCTAGTAGGACAAAATGAATATGTATGGGGAGGAGGCAACCTCAAACAACCACCACGCTTACTGCCAAGCCTATAGGGTTTTTTTTTTTATTCATTTTTTAATTTGTGTATAATAAAATGCATTTTTTTGGTATGCAGTTTTCTGAGTTTTGCCAAATGCACAAAATCACATAACTACCACTGCCATCAAGATTTGGAACAGTGGCTAAGTGTGGTGGTGGCTTACACCTGTAATCCCAGCACGCTGGGAGGCTGAGGCTGGAGGATCGCTTGAGCCCAGGAGTTCAAGATCAGCCTGAGCAGCATAGTGAGACCCTGTCTTTACAAAAAACTTTTTAAAATTTTGCTGGGCATCATGGCATATGCCTGTAGCCCCAGCTACTTGGAAGGCTGAGGCAGAAGGATCACTTGAACCTGGGAGGTTGAGGCTGCAGTGTGCCGTGATTGCACTGCTGCACTCCAGCCTGGGCGACAGCAAAATCCTACCTCAAAAAAAAATTTTTTTTAAAGATTTAGAATAGTTTTCTTTTCTCTTTTCTTTTCCTTCCCTTTTTTTTTTTTTTTTTTTTTTTTTTTTTTTTTTTTTTTTTTTTTTTGACAGAGTTTGGCTCTTGTCACCCAGGCTGGAATGCAATAGCACGATCTTGGCTCACTGCAACCTCCGCCTCCCAGGTTCAAGCGATTCTCCTGCCTCAGCCTCCTGAGTGGCTGGGACTATATACAGGTGCCCACCACCACACCTAGCTAAATTTGTTTTTTTTTTTTTTTTTTTTTTGAAGTAGAGGCAGGGTTTCACCATGTTGACCAGGCTGGTCTTGAACTCCTGACCTCAGGTGATCCACCAGCTTTGGCCTCCCAAAGTGCTGTGATTATAGGCATGAGCCACCACGCCTGGCCTCGAATAGTTTTGTTACTCCCCCAAAACTGCTTTGTGCTGCCTTTTTGTAGTCAAACTATTCACCTGCCCTTAACCCCAGCTCCCCCGCATTAGAAACCACTGAACCTCTGATCTGTTCTTTACCCTAAAGCTTTCCCTTTTCCAGGGTGTAGCGTTTGTGGAATTAGAGAGTATCTTACCTTTCAAGTCTGACTTCTTTCGTCTAGTTTAATGCATTTGAGATTTATGTGTGTTGTCAGATGTATCAGTAAGTTTGTGTCTTAGCAGTGCTGAGAAGTATCCCTTTGCGTGGATGTACCTAGGTCTGTTTATCCATTCATCAGCTGGAGGACAGCTGGGTAGTTTCCAGTTTAGGGTGATTACAAATAAAGCCACTATGTACATGCACCTCTAGGTTTTGGGTCAACATAAGTTTTCATTTCTCTTAAGTTTCAATACTTAGGAGAATGATTGCTAGGTCAATGGTAAGAGGGTGTATAACGCTACAAGAAAGTGCTAAACTGTTTTCCAAAGTGAGTGTAGTATTTTGTATCCCCACTAGCAATGAAATGAGAGCTCTGCTTGCTCTGTAAGAGGCATTAGTGAATGTGAAAGTGCTTTGTAAAGAGTAAGGGTGTCTCACAGCGTGCCCAGGTGGGAAGATTCAGAGGGGGCATTTCTAAACTCTAAACTCCTGTGGGCTCCTAACCCATCCTTCTGAATGGGGACTGAATACTTCCATTTCCAGGTTACTTGCTTCTGCAAAAGGGAGACAGGGAAGTCTCCTTCTCTTTTTGCAAATGAGGGCACAGCACTGCCTCTCGTGGTTGAGCCAGTCATTATTCAGTAGGAACAGCAGTGAGATTCTCCAGCCTTCAGTTTTGTTCCTGAGTTCACAAAGTAAAATGCAGCGTGATCATTTGGAGCATTCTTATGCTTTGTGACAAGAACGAAGGCCATGGAAACAGCCACGTGTCCAATCAGAATGTCAGAGCTGGCAGGGACCTTAGCAATTGTCACTTTAGAGATGATAACCTATTACATCCCCAGGTCTCCAGAATCCCAGCCCAGGACCCGTTCCTTCAGCCTTCCTGGATTGCCCTGGGTGGAACAAGATCAGCTCATTTAGCACGTAGCCTCCCAGAACACAAGGCAGCGTCCCACCATGGTGGGATGGGACCGGCTTCTCTATCCACAGTAGCTGTGCATGCAGAGACAGAAATGAAGCCGTACTGCCGGGTGCACCGTGGCCAGAGATCCTCCTTCCTGGTATATACTCCCAGAGCCTTTGCTTCTTTCATTTCAGTGCGCATTTCTGAGGCACCTTCACATTTCAAACGTCCTGAGAATATGTTTAATTAGAACTTGGCCATACAGCCTTTTAAAACAAAACAGAAGGGACCGGCTAATTATATCGCTCAGCATTCTGTGGCAAACATATATTTTTTTAATAAAACACTTTCCTAACCAGAGTAATCCCTGGAGATGCAAATCCTCATTTATAAGAAGTTTCCCAAAGGGAGTTAGAGAGAAGATGCCTTATAAAGAAAAGAGACAAAGAGAGTGGGGAAGTGTTTTCAAAGAGCTTTTAAAAGATACACTCATTCTGAGGTTGAATTACAGATATTTTAAGGGTACCAAATTTTATTTCAGATGTAATCCTTTCCTGTGTTTTTGATCATGTATTTCCGTTTTTTCCCTTTTTGATCATTGCCACAAATGCCCATATTTCTCTTTCTGGTGTCTTTCATAAGTGCAATATTTAAATAAACAAGGGATTTTCCCAAAATGCACCTCATCTCCTACTGTTTGTCATTTCCTTGTCTTGCTCTGTAAATAACCCTGTGTCTCACAGCAGAGCTTACACAGAATGAATGCAGGGCAGTCTGTGGTCCTGGGGAGGACCTTCCCTGTAATCTCCGCAGCCCAGGACAGGGAGAGGGAGGATTTAGGTCCTGCTGCAGCGTGTCTTCAGGAGTGGAGGTCGGCTTGGGACATTTGCATTCATGAGGCAGCGGCAGAGGGTCAGAGCAATAATTGTGCCAGCTGATGTTTGCTGGGGGGTTTACTCCAAGCCACGCCACACGCTAAGAAATTTAGGTATCGTACCTCATTTAATCCTCACAATACTCACAAAATATAGTTGTTCTTGCTCCATTTTGCAGATGAAGAAGATGAGGCTGAAGGAATGCACAAAGGATCTCACAGCGGTTAGAAGGGTTAGATCTTGTATTTGGACTCAGGTCTTCCTGCCCTGGAACCTGGTGCTGGGCGCATTAGGAGACGTCACGAGGCTCAGAGATGCCACCCTTCCTAGAACGGGCGCTGTGCCTCTCTTCTCCACACACTGCAGCGGGGATAGGCACTGCGTTTTCAGATAAGTTCCGTGTGCATCAGGGGCTCGGTGGGAAAGAGAGGACACACTCAGATTAGGATTATTCATGGAGGATTCTCCAAAGAGGCTATTTGGAAAGGGAACGGTGAAGGAGAGCACAAGAGAAAATGAACAGAACTGGTACTTCCCCACGTCTGAAGGGGATGGGTTACTGGAAGCCAGGAGGAGAGTGTGGTAAGAGCCACTTTTAGAGGAGTTTTTACCTTCAGGAGAAAGGGCCCAAGAAGACCCACAGGGAGGTGACCAGGGAATGGCATATGTAGACTACACTCTCTTCTCTTTCTCCACTCTCCTGCTAGGGCTCCGCATTGGATAAACCCCTGCAGGAGCAAGTGAAACTGCCACCCAGGTCTGCCTCCCAGGGCACAGCCCACAGAGAGCTCTGAGGCAAGTGGTAGAAAACTAGCACAGGTGCAGTGCATCTTGCAAAGCAACCAGCCTGTGCTGGCCCTGGGCTGGAAATGGGAAGAGAGGAGACCATAGCACTGCCCTCAAATACCTTAGAGTCTGTGGAGGAGTCAGGCGGAGAGAGGGGGTGTTCCCTTGGCAAAGGGCTCCATGAGCAGATGCAGGCCATGGGCGATGCTCCTGCAGAAGTTTTGAGGTTTGCCCTGTGTGCCTGGAAGGAGCGTGCCCACTTTGACATGCCTCGCCTCCTGTTGCCATTGACAACATGAAGGCAAACTCCTGGGACCGGGCCTTTTTCCTTGAGATAAAATATGTATAATTCTCTGTTATCAAATGATGATTACATAAAATCTAATTGAAAAAATAGAAAGAAGAAAAGAGAAATCATTTATCATCCTGTTCTCCAAAGACAACTGTGAACGGCTTGGTGGAACTCCTTCCAGTGGCTTTTCTCGGAGCTTTGCCTCTTTGGATGTGGTAAGAGTCGGATGCAATTTTGAATTTTGAGATTTTGATTGAGCATTGCTGGAGTATTTTGCCATGTTATGATAAATCTTTGGCAAACATAGGTTTTGATGGCTGCATAATACTCTTGTATGAATGCTAGCACAGTTCATATTATAATTCTACTGTATGTATGTATGTATTTATTTATTTATTTATTTTTGAGATGGAGTCTTGCTTTGTCACCCAGGCTGGAATGCAGTGGCACGATCTCAGCTCACTGCAGCCTCCACCTCCTGAGTTCAAGCTGTCCTCCCACCTCAGCCTCCTTGAATAGCTGGGACTACAGGCCTGCGCCACCATGCTGGGCTGATTTTTGCATTTTTTAGTAGAGACAGGGTTTCACCATGTTGGCCAGGCTAGTCTTGAACTCCTGACCTCAGGTGATCTGTCCACTTCGGCCTCCCACAGTGCTGAGATTGCAGGCGTGAGCCACCATGCCCAGCCATCTTCTACTGTTTAAATGTTTAGGTTATATCCTGTTTTGTTAATATTAAATAATGCTATAATTAAAAACTTTGTGTTTAAAGAATTTTTCCATGTTTCAGATTATTTATCCAGTAAGATGTCTCTAAAATAAAGCTACTAGAGGTTGAAGTACCTAGCCAAGGGCCAGTCACAGAATAGACACAACTTGGTTGATAACTATTGCTGTTCAATGGTGAGTGTTTATGTCAAGCTCTTCTGCAATTAAGAACTGCTCCAAAGACCTTCCTCTAGAACAGAGCTTGAATATACTGTGAGCCATGTAATTCTCAATGTTATAATAACCACATTTCAAAAAGCAGATGCAATTGAAATTAATTTTAATAATACCTTTTACTGGAGCCGGGCACGGTGGTTCACGCCTGTAATCCCAGCACTTTGGGAGGCCAAGGTGGGCAGATCACTTGAGCTCAAGAGTTTGAGATCAAGCTGAGCAACATGGCAAAACCTTATCTCTACAGACAAATACAAAAATTAGCCAAATAGGGGGGTGTGTGGCTGTAGTCCCAGTTACTCGGGAGACTGAGGTGAGAGAATCACTTGAGCCTGGAGGGTTAAGGCTGCAGTGAGCCAAGATTGCACCACTGCACCCCAGCCTGGGTGACAAAGTAAGACGCTGTCTCAAAAATAATATTAAAGCAAACATAAAAATACATTTTATGTAACCAATTATGTCTAAAATATTATTTCAACATGTGATTATATGTAATCAATATAAAATGTATCAATGAGATAGTCTACATTTTTTTCCGCATGTAACCTTTGAAATCCGATGTATAGATTTTATGCTTACAACACAACTCCATTCAAACCAGCCTCATGCTCAGTGTTCAGCGGCCACGTGGGTGGCTGATAGCCACTGTGAACGGTGCAGGTCTAGAGCAAGGAACCCACCAGAGATATTTGCCACTGTTGGCATCTTCACCTAGCCCTGAAATCCAGCCACCTTTTCGTGCCTCCCTGAGCCCCCTTACTGACGTTCTGGACTGAGGGTGGACCAGGTGGCCAGGCGTGACATGACTTCTGTACCCGGACATTTTTACTGGTTATCCTCATTCCTGCCTTGACCTTAGCCAATCACAGCATCCCTCTCTCCCAGTGTGCCTGGCACTGGTTCATTCAGAGACATTGCACACTTCCGGCATGGTAAGCCCTGGGCCTGACCCTCGGGATACAGGTGGACAAACAGAACTGTCTTGTAAAATTTAATTACAGAACTTGTCAACGTTTTTCGGGTCTAGTAGGGGAGACAGACTTTAATCAAATCATCGCACAAGTACATACTTTCTAAATGTGGTAAGTGCTACAAGGGAAATGTACTTTTAAAGAGGCTAACACTGGGTCATGGCATGAGTGGCCCACCCTGAAGGCATTTAACAGAGGTGGCCCAGCCCCTGGCCAGGCCGTCTTGGGGAACATTCACGTGAAAGATGAGAGTGAGATAAGAGGATCTCAGTTTCCTTCTGGTATCCAGGGTCCCTAAGCGACATTAACAGAGTTTCTAGGACAGACAGTAGCTCACCGGTTCCTGTGTCTGGGGCCCAGTTGATCAATTCCTGTTTGTCATCTCTAAAAAGTATTGCAGCCAGCTGGAACATAAAAGTAATGAGGAAACAGGCCGGGTGCGGTGGCCCATGCTTGTAATCCCAGCACTTTGGGAGGCCGAAGTGGGCGGGGGATCACCTGAGGTCAGGAGTTCAAGATCAGCCTCACCAACATGGCTAAAACCCGTCTCTACCAAAAATAAAAAATTAGCCGGGCATGGGGCACACGCCTGTAATCCCAGCTACTTGGGAGGCTGAAGCAGGAGAATCACTTGAACCTGGGAGGCGGAAGTTGCAATGAGCAGAGATCGTGCCACTGCACTCCAGCCTGGAGAACAAGAGTGAAACTCTGTCTCAAAAACAAACAAACAAAAAAGTAATGAGGAAGCAAAGGGTGACTCATTCATTCATGCATGCATTCATTCATTCATTTGTTCCTGTGTTCATGCAGCAACTCTTAGTGAGTGCTCTGTGGGATGCCAGGCAGGCTCTGCACAGTCAGAATGGCAAAGCCAGCCTTCTCTGGCAGATTACACACTGCCAACTGAACACACTTTTCTGGGGAACATATCCACTTAAAAGAGAGGAAAAATCAATGCTAATAGAACTCCTTATCTGGTTCCAAAAATGACATTGTCCATAGTGGCTGATGCTTTGAGCCCTTGGCTGCTCTGGAAGCATGAGCCCTGCATGGACACAATTTTGTAAGCTCCTTGAAGCCGGCCAGATCAATCAATGAGAGGCTGCAACGTGGAGAGAGTCTGGGTTCCAGGGGCAAACTGTACTATTCCTCTTCTACCCTGAAACAGGACTGGGACCCTCCCTTCAACCTCCAGCCCCTGGGGACAGGGTAATTTCAGCTGCACCTGATGTACCCTATACATCACTGTCTTCTCCACCAGCTCTCAAATTAAACTCTGATGTATAAAGTTAAACAAAAATGAGATAAAATTTGGCAGAGGTTGAAGAGGGTCAAAGTAGTCCAAACACAAGGTAGACTATTGCTTCTTTTGATTTATGTTATTCTGTACACTTTGAAAAAATAAAATTATAAATCTCCCCGAGACTTTCTCATTGAGAATGAGGCATTGCTAATTTATTTTCAATAGACTCCCAGGGTTTTCAGCTGGGAGGAGCACTATAGCTGTTGTTTGTAGTGAAGATGCCATGGTTCGACCTTGGGCGTGGACTGTGATGATGTGAAAATATCCTGCAAAGTTATCATCTGCAGGCAGTGGTGTTGAAAACCACCCTCCCTTACCTGGCTCATATCACAGACCACAGTGTCTATCCTTCCTTATTTTCTTATTTAATCCTTGCAAACCCATAATGTGTGACACAGAATTCATTGTCCCCTTTTGGCAGTTGGGGAAACTGAGGCTTAAAGAAACCACGTGTCTTCGGTAAATATTAGCATGTCTAGTAAATGGCTGGGACACAGAAGTGAACAAGACCAGCACCCTCTCCTAGAGACCTTCTTCCAGTACAAGAGACGATAATCAAGTCAAATGACTAAATATAAAGGATGATTATGTGTAGAATTAATTGTGAGGAAATGGAAGTGGGAAAAAGGATAGAGAAAGAGGGGTATAGAAAGCCAAGGGAGGGCCTTAACAAGGGACTATTTAACAGTAAGATATACTGTTTTTTTTTTTTTTTTTTTTTTTTTTTTTGAGATAGGCTCTTGCTCTGTCACCGAGGCTGGAGTTCAGTGGTACTATCAAAACTCACTGCAGCCTCAAACTCGTGGGCTCAAACGATCCTCTCACCTCAGCCTCTCGAGTAGCTGGGATTGTAGGTACACACCCTGGCTTATTTTTTGATGTTTTGTAAAGATGGGATCTCACTATGTTGCCCAGGCTGGTCTTGAACTCCTGGCCTCAAAGGATCCTTCTACTTCAGCCTCCCAAAGCACTGGGATTATAGGCATAAGCCACCAAGCCTGGCCCAAGTTACACATTTTTAAAGGATGGTGAAGGCTGCTGTGTGTAGAACTAACTCGGGGACAAGGGCAACGTCAGAGAGACCAGTTAGTAGGCTGTGCTCATTTTCTGGACAAGATATTGTGGTGAGTTGGGCCAGGTGGTGGCAGGAGTGGTGGGGTACAGAGCTTAGAACAATTTTGAAGATAAGGTGTCTCCAAGGGATCTGTTTTTGCTCCCGTGCTCTTTCCACAGCACACCACCTGCACCAGACTCTGCTGGTATCACTGCACCAGACTCCGGAGCAGGCTGCTTCTCTGGAGGAGGATAAAGACAGGAATGCTATCTAGGGAGATAAGATAGCACCAGCAGGCATCAGGAGCTTCAGAGAGGAGGACCCCTAGTCCTGGCTGCGTATGCGCTTATGTGTGTCACTTGCGATGTGCATAATCGTCTTCAGTCTTATTTTTTCCAGGTAACTGCAAAAGCTAATTTCCAGCTCATTTAGCTCTGTTCTTTCCCTAAGCTCCTCTAGTCTGGCTTTTGTCTCTGCCACGCCTACCAAAACCACTCTGCTCAAGGCCATGGTCAATGTCTCCATTGCCTAGTGCAGGACCGTCAGAGCTGCTCTGGGACAGATACACCAGATGCATCAGTTTCCTGATAGAGCAGAATCTCTTGGGGGCCTGATGCCCACACAGCCTGACGCTCTGGGATGGATTTCTGCACAGATGCAACCTCTGTGGGCAGAGGCCAGGATGAGGCTTATGTGGCTGTGAAGACCAGCCTTCGATCTGTTTTCTGATGCAACCACAGTGCTGCAGGCTCTGCTTCATCTTGGAGGTTTGATGGGTGCAAACATGAGGGGTTTCTGGGTAGAGCTGAGGCCTGGGCCCTCGAGTCTCCTCTGTCTGCACAGCTGTTATGAGGTTGGCAAAGTGCCAGCCAACCTCAGTGCAACCCTCACCAAGTTCTCAAGGAACAGCCTCTGAAGGTCCTTCTCTATGCTGAGTTCTAGGGAAGGAAAAGGAACTCAAGGAATAGAAGAGCTGATCTGCCCAAGTCATACATTTCTTGGGGGCACAGGAGGACTACATCTCTCATGCTCACTTGCAATTCACTGTGGCCACTCAAATTAAGGTTTACCAGATGGAACATGAGCAGAAGTGATGTGTTCTCCCTCCAAGCCTAACCCATGAAAAACCTACTGGGAACACTCCCCCATGCTCTTTTCCATTCCATGAGCTGGATGCAGATGATGGCAAGGAACTAGTGTGAGGTGGAGCCGTAAAACAGAGGGAGCTGGGATCCCTGAATGACCACATGGACATACACATACACCAACGACTGCTTTGTAAGCAAGAAATAAACATCTACTGTATGGAACCTTTGCGTGGAGGGTCTATTTATTACAGCAGCTTAGCTTATCCTGACTAACACAATCTCTGCTCTCAGGGAGTTTAAAATTGTTTCAAGGAGGCAAGATTCACTCATACAATTCTGGAATGATAGTAGGTGGCTCAGAAGAAGGGTAGGTTGTAAGGTTTGGACTTTCAGTTCAGAAGTCACAGACTGCAGGCCCTTGGGTATTAGACTCTCCCATTGAAGCCCTGTATCTGGAAAACTGGTAGACTGGGGAGAAGGCCCTTCTGGAAGGGAACACATTACAGTCAAGGGTTCAAAAGTAGGGCTTGAAGCAAGCAAAGATGAGATCAACCATGGTAATTCCTAGAAAGGGAAAAAAGAAAATGGCCTTTAAATACCTAAGAGCTTTGACTGCTGCAGGGATGAGACAAAAGTCAGACTTTCATAACTTCTCTCCTGTGACGCCTCGGAAGTTCCCTGGGGAGGACCCCTGAGCCTGGGTGTGTGGGAAGTTGGTGTCGGCTTGCTGTTTCCCATGCCTTTTCTCCTGGCTAGGAACCCCACTTGTCTCTTTTAACCAATAACTTAGCTTGGACTTGAATGCTTGATTGGAACAGCAAGTCTCCAGCTTTCTGCAGAGGTCTTCATATGATGAAGTTTCTGAGCTGAGGATTCTAACTGAGACTTCCAGCTCTCAGCTGAACTTCAGACGTGGTCTTTACAGTCACAGCTGCTGGCAAGGCCCTGAAAAGCTCAGCTTGGATCTGTCTATCCCTACCAGGTTCTGGGGGAAAGGGGAGGAGAGCAGGCAGGACACTCCCAGTTTACAGCCCAGGGATGCTGAGTCCTAGGGGAAAAGGTATTGCTCATCACCCTTGAACCCTAGAAGTGGCAGGACCTCAGGGGAATTCAAAGTTGTCTTCCTCTTGGGAAAGATAAACACTTATGCCACTGGTTCTCCTGTTCCTGGACACGCCACTCCCCTCTTCCCAGACTCACACACCCCCTAAGTGCACCCCAGTGAATGGTGCTGCTCTGGGTACCCCACAGACAAGCACTGGGGAGCAGCCACTAAAGACATGGGTCCTGGTTCCAGCTGCTGATTTTGATTAGGGGTGTGACCTTGGCCCTCTTCATCCCCCTCTGCTCTTCCCCTGTTCGTTCACAACTGTTTTTGTTAATATTCATGGTGCATTATGTAACTATCGTTCACGTTGAGCCAAGTAGTGTACTAGACTTGCTTGGTTGCTTTCATTCTCCTTTTATTTTCCCTGAAGCCAATGATCAACTCATTTTCATGTGCTTGGTGTTCTTTGCACAGATGATTAAGTTTTCCTATACCTACCTGCAGCCTCTCAAGACAATTTTCCACAAGATTGAACAGATCAGAAAATCCACCAGGAGCAGTTTCTTCTTGTTCTTGGAGACATCCCCTCTGAAGGTCTCTGACGTTCCAGTTCAATTCCCTGCTTGGACAACAGCATAACTATCATCTGGGCTTTCCTTCACCTCCAGCTTGGAGGATTTCTTTACTTCTCTCATCCATTGGATCCACTGCTTCCTGAAGCAGACGCCTTTCCCTCCTTGGTTTCATCTCTTCTTTTATTGGTGCACAGCCCCCAGAAACTGTCTGCTAATGCAGGGATGACATCTGGGGGTTAAGCTAGCAGGACAAAGGAGCTTCTGCCATTTCTCTTCTGGATAATCATCCCCCAACAAACAACAACAGCAGCAAATAAATAAAACAAGAAGAATGTGAAAGAGAAATGCAAATTTCATTTTTTACAAAATAAGCAGGCAGATACAACCCAGTACTGCAAAGAGTGGAAAATAGGTGAGAGAGAGCCAAAGGGCCTTGCTCTGCTAGATGTCTGCAGCAGGGTAGAAGCTGATCTACCAGGCAGAGACCCAGAGTAGCTCAGGAAGACACCACACAAGGCAAGGTGAGGTGTGGCAGGTCACAGGTGGCAGGCCTCCGTGGGGAACAGCTAGGCCCCCAGGTTCCCACCCCTGAGCCTGACATCTTCCCCTGTCTTTTGGAAGATGGAAAGAGGATCCAGGTGAGGGCCAAGGTGAGCACAAACCAAAAAGAGGGGGGTTGGGGGAAGTTTACTCTTGTACACAGGCAGGCCCCCAGCTCTTTTCTGTCTGGCTCATAGTCTAGGAGCAAAGGTAGGTCAGGGGTCACCTTTTATTTATGTCCTACAAGTTGTATGAATTTTAACAAATGCATTGGTTGTGTAACCAGAACTACATTCAGAATACAGAAGAGTTCCATCCCCTCCTGCTCCCCAGACTCCCTCATGTTACCGCTTTTATAGATAAACTCTCCTTCCACTCCTTGCCCTTGGGAGTCATTGATCTGTTCTCCATCACTGCAATGTTGTCTCTTTAAGAATGTCACATAAATGGAGTCATGTCATATGTCATATGCCACCTTTTGAGACTGGCTTCCTTCACTAGGCAAATGCCTTTTTTTTTTTTTTTTTTTTTAGACGAATTTTTGCTCTTGTTACCTAGGCTGGAGTGCAGTGGCATGATCTCAGCTTATTGCAACCTCCACCTCCTTGGTTCAAGTGATTCTCCTGTCTCAGCCTCCCAAGTAGCTGGGATTACAGGCATGCACCACCACTCCCAGCTGATTTTTGTATCTTTAGTAGAAACAGGGTTTCACTGTATTAGGCTGGTCTCGAACTCCTGACCTCAGGTGATCCAACTGCCTCAGTCTCCCAAAGTGCTGGCATTACAGGTATGAGCCACCGCGTCTGCCCAATGCCTTTGAGACTCATCCAAATTGTTTCACGTATTAGGAATTTATTTTTCCTTATTTCTGAGTAGTGTTTCATTGTAAGGATGTACTACGATGGGTTTATCCATCCACCCCTTGAACGACATTTTGGGTTGTTTCTAGTTTTGACAGTTAGGAAGACTATTGCTACAAACACTTGCATGCAGGGTTTTGTGTAAAAATAGATTTTTATTTCACAGGAGTGAAATCTCACCCAGGAGTAGGATTACTGGGTCCTATGGAAAGCGTATGTCTAATTTTATAGGAAGCTACCAAACACTTTTCCAGAGTGGTTATACCGATTTTTATTCCCCCCAGTAATGTATAAGTGTCTTGTTGTTAGATATCCTTGCCAACACTTGGTATTGACAGTATTTTTTTAAATGTTATTCATTTAATAGGTATAGAGTGGTATCTCAATATGGCTTCAAGTTGCATTTCCCTAACAGCTAATTATGTTGCACGTTTTTATGTCCTTATTTGCCATCCTTATATCTTTTTGGTGAGTGTCTTTTCAAGCCTTTTGCTCATTTTAAAAATTGAGTTGTTAGTATACTTACTGTTGAGGCCTGAGTGTTCTTTACACATTAAATATTAAGTTCTTTAAAAAAAAATATGGGGGTCTTTTGTGTTCCCCAGACTGGAATGCAGTGCAAGGCTCTGCCTGAAAGCTTTTCCGACCCAAAGTTTCTGTCTCTTTCTATGGACTTGTTTGATTATATCATCTTTTCTTCCCACCTGCTAGGGTTTTGGGGGTTAAATAATAGGAAGCATAGAGACATGTGCAGCAAAAAGCCTATTAGAAAGTAGATTTTCCATGCAAGTTGCTACAAAATCAAATAAATTTCCAGTTCCTGAGAACCCAAGGTTTGATATAGTTTGGCTGTGTCTCCACCCAAATCTCATCTTGAGTTGTAGCTCCCACAATTCCCACGTGTCATGGGAAGGACCCAATGGGCCTAGGCCTTTCCTGTGCTGTTGCCATGGTAGTGAATAATTCTCAGGAGATCTGATGGTCTTATAAAGGGGAGTCCCCCTGCATACACTCTCTTGCCTGCTGCCACGTAAGACATGCCTTTGCTCCTCCTTGCCTTCCACTATGATTGTGAGGCCTCCCCAGCCACGTGCCACTGTGAGTCCATTAAACCTTTTTCCTTTATGAATTACCCAGTCTCCAGTATGTTTTTATCAGCAGCATGAAAACGGACTAATACAAAGTCTCCTCTAATTCTATGTTAGAAGCCTGTTTTAGACGGGCTTCCACAATGATTTTAATGAGAGCAAACTGGTTCATGAGTTCATCAGGCAACATACAGGTGCTTTCACAGGAACCTTAAGACAGCATCTTCCACCGAAAGAGAGCCAGAGGTTGGGATTTCAGGCACTTTGGCCAGTCAGACAAAGGAAAGATTTCTTAATAATAGGGGGTCTTTTGCTATTCCAGTGTCTTGCCACAAAAATGATAGGACAGATCTGGTTGCTACTAGTCCCCTAGAGTGCCCAGCTAGAACTGAGACAAATAAAAAGCAAACTCCAGTTATGGAGTCCTGTTTTGCAGGCCCCGTTCCCAAATGTCAGCTCCTAATGGACAACAGCTGCCTCTGTGGTTTCTTCTAGGCGAGTGATTCATGTCTTTGCTCAGAAACGATAAGCAGAACAAATGTTTGCTTAGACATAGAACAGAGGAACAATTGGAAAACAGGAGACTGGCAACTGGAAATAGTTTGCAGCTATTTGATCCATGACAATTAGTCTGAATTAGTCATATGGTGCTCACTGGCCAGGCCTTTGGGCCAGAGGCAGCGTGGAGCAATAGACAGCTGGTCTTCCTGGAAAAGAAGGGCGGAAGGGAACATAGAAGACACGGAGGTTTGCTCAGAACACGTCAGATTGGTTCTCACCCTCGCAAAGGTGACCCGCCTTGACCATCTGCCCTAGTTGCACTCCATACCTGATCCAGGTCCCCAGCCTGGAAATTAGCAGAGAGGCAGAAACTATATACACTCATGAGAGATGCCTCTAAAATCCATTAACAATTTTTTACACATTAAGAAGTTAACATAAACAATAGGTTGAGTTTTGTGTGTGTGCAGGTGGGAAAAAAAGCTTTAAAAATATGCAGACACCCACATTAATTGGATTTTAATCCTAAGGATCATGTTACGTATATTGACTCCTTCAAGAGAGATACATGGACCTTGAATTTGAACTTAAAAGTAGGACTTTGAGTAGGATTTTCAGTCTGATTATGTTGATATAATTTAAGATCCTGTAGCCTACGTTGTACTTATGCAGAATGTACTCCTGTGGTCATGCTCCAATACATTATTTAGCAGATCTATCATAAATATTTTTCTTTTTGTGAGAAAAGATTTCACTCTGTTCCCCAGGCTGGAGTGCAATGGCACAATCATGGCTGACTACAGTCTCGACCTCCGTGACCTCCTGGACTCAAGCAATCCTCCCACCTCAGCCTCTCAAATAGCTGGGACTACAGGTATGCTCCACGACCACGCCCAGCTAACTTTTTTTTTTTTTTTTTAGAAACTGGGTTTCACCATGTTGCCTAGGCTCATTATCATAAATATTTCTATGAGAAGGGAGAAAAGTCAGATACATTCAATATTTCAGCCAAAAAAATAGAAAAGCAATATCTTTTGTCAAAAACTTCTCAGACCGTTTTTTTGCAAAGAGTCAGGAGGAAAAGCAAAATGTGAAGCCCCTAAACCCGCCTCTCTCCTCACCTCAGAGTAGAATCTGTAATGTTGGAGGACTCTGGGAGTAGAATTTAAGTCACAAGGAAGGTCGACACATCGGCAAAGCCAGCCCGGAGCTGAGCAGGGCATCGGCTGCTTTACCAGCAAACATGAACGAAACTAATTTTGAGCACAGGATGTTGAAAACCTCAACCCTGGCTTCTCAGGTGGATTTTTCTAAACACATGACAAGAGGATGTAAATAGGATGACCTGCTCCTCCCTCCTTGCCCAAGAGCATTTCTGATGGGGTGTCTCTCTGCTTGGCACTGAAGCAGATGTTTCTGCGGGAGGGGAGGTAGGAAGGTAGGAGCAAGAGCCTACAAGAGAGTGGCCTTCCTTATTGATGCAGACAACTGTTGGTTTCGATGGTCGCAGCCTCCTTTTCCTCCTTCTGTTAACAACACCTTGGATTTTCTCTGAGAAAAGCATTTTCCCCATATTCTCAGTCCCTGTTGCTTGGGTGGGATTAGAAAGGGCTCCTCCTTCTGCTTCCCCCGCACCCCCATTCCGGGGAGAACCTGGGGTCCAGCTCGGTCAGCCAGCATCCTCCAGCCACCAAGCCTGGCACCAGAAGGGCTGCTGAGTATTGGGTACGGGACTTGGGACTCATCTCCAGCAATGCAAAGCAGCTTTCTCCTGTGGTTGCTGACAGGAGGCTGTGGTCCCGGGGTGGTCCATGGGCCCTGGCTTCCTCCATCTCCAGCCCTGCTGTAACAGTTCTCATGACTCAGCTGAAGCCTCTGGACCCCTTGTGCTGGACCTACCCTGAGAAGGCTCAGTTGACTCTGTGCCTAATCTAGTTTGATGCTTTTGTCTGGTTGTTTGCTCTTACCCCTTGCAAAAGACAGTGATATCACACGCATTCATCTTGGCCAAAGGCGGTGCGGGAGGGAACGCATGGAGATGATGCCAGAATTTAGGTTCCACTTTTTGAAACGGAGACCTCCTGAGGGGAACCGCAGGCTCTCAGTGCAGAAGCCCCCTCCATAGTTCCCCTGACCTGTCCAGCACCTGCCTCCAGAGTTGAGGAGGGGCTGTGCGACCTCCCGAAGGCAGCCACCATGGACAGCTCTCACCAGTCCCAAGTCCTTCCTCTAGGCCACCATCCACTTCCTTGGACTGCCTGCAGTGGGTATCAGCTCTCAGGCCACAGGAGCCACATGGGAAGTCTTCCTCTGTTCACTGAGAGGCAGCCTGAACCACGGAATGGAGAGACCTGGGTCTCTCCAACTAAATACCCCCATTCCCTCCCGCTGTGCCCATGGCTGTAGCACTAAGGCCTCCTGCCTGCAGGACCACTGTGCTCTCTGTGTCCTCTGAACACCTCCACTCAGAGCTGACCCAGTTCAGCAGGGGCGGAGCATGAACTTGTGAGGAGAGACACTGAGCAGGCTGGAGTAGCTGAAACATCACTTTCCACAGCTCCCTGGGAAACGGCCAGAAAGATTCCTGCCAGGCCCGGAATCCCTGCACGCACTTGATCCCCAAGACCTCAGGACCCTCTCGCCCTCCCTCTGTGCCCAGCGTTTG